TATGCTATGCAATTCGTGATACTTTTGTGGGTAATGTTGTAATCGCTTTACACTGGGGTTTAATCTGTTTACCAGCTTGACTTTTCTAACTGGCAGTGTACCGGTAAAAAGATAAGTTAAACATAATTTCCTGACCATTTTTGTGAAAACTGTCATAAGGTGATGACGTCAACAATGTGATGATGCTGATGATGATGATTAAAAAGAAATTGATGACGACAACGACGACGATGATGATAAAATGTTGAAGGTGTTGATGATGATTATAATCTCGTCAAATTGGTTAACGTTTACAGCCATAATATTGGAGAAATCTACATCTCATCTTGTTGTTGTGTTGTTGTTGTTGATGATGATGATAATGTTGTTGTTGTTGATGATGATGATGATAATGATAAAATGAAGTCCATGGTATTTAAAATGATGTCGTCTCGGTGAATGAAATGAATATAAAAATGAGTTTCCCATACGGTGTGATTAACAGTTTATTGTTGATGTCTGTTAATTAAAATGACATTTGTCGGAAACGACTGTGTTGTGTTGTTGTTGTTGTGTTGTTGATGTCTTGTTGCCGGTATAATGTGTGTTGTTGTGCTGTTTGTTAATGATATCTCGTTAGTTTGTTAATGTCGTTGGTTCTGTTAATGTCGTTGTCCCGTTAATGTTGTTGGTTTGATGTTTGGTGAGGTGTTGTTGGTGTTGTATAGTTTGGCAAAAATTATAAAAACCATTTGAAATAAAAAATGCCAGACAGAAATCAATAAAATTTTTCAACTAAAAATGCACTACCACAGTTTTTCAAACAAACCAACCAATCAACCAACTCAACACACGCCACCATCAACTTTTAGAACAAAAACAACCGGCCAAACATTTGTACTATGCAATATTATTCATAATAATCAACATCAACATCATCATCAGTTTCGACGACAACAACAACACAACCATTCAACAACTACCATTTCAAATGGCTTTACATTATCAACGAGATAATTCGATCAAATCCATCAATCCCGAAATAGCCAGCGTCCAATAGGATTGCAGAAATTTAAATAAGCCACTCCCAGCAATAGAAAACTCCGCCTAAATCGTTTTCATCAATGAACAATGTACGTATAAGATAATCTTGACGATATGCAAATACCTTAATTTATACGCGCACTTGTGTATTTCGTGTGTTTATTACATTTTTATATTCTCTACACAACAACACACGAATCTAACATGCATATAAATTGTTCCTTTCTTTCCCGCTTCACTCGCTCGTTCGTCGGTTAATTTTGACTGGTTTTTTTTCTCTTTCCCACACCATTTTGAAAAAATTTTGGACCGTTAATTACCTGGAAAATTATTTCATGTGTTGTTCTTTTTTGAGGGATGAGTTGGATTTTATTTTGCCGTATGTTTCAGTGACGTTTGTGGGGAAATGTGATTGACATTTTATGAAGAAGTATCTTCTTATTCCGCGGTTGCTATGTTGCATAATTAACGTCAGAAAATACAAGAACAACAATATCTACAACAACAACAGGCGTCAACAAAAACAACAAACGTCAACAACAACATCAGTAGCATCATCATCATCATCATCAATAACAACATTAACAATAAGGCCAATAGCAACCGCACAACGACGACAACAACAACTACTACAAAAACAACAACAACTACTACAACAACAAAAACTACAACAACGACAATATTATTGTTTCAGTGAACAGTGAAACAGTCCTACCAACACAACAACGACATCTGGTAAAACAACATCTGGTAAAACAACTTCACCATCCAACCAACACAACGCAAGTAAGTAGTAACCTAATTATTATTTTGGTCGTATTTATTGCCATCTTCAATTACGTCCTGACATATTGTCTCAATATTACAATTCAAGTTAATTAAGGTTGTAAAAGTGGCGGTTCAAAAGTTTGCAATTAAATGAAATTATTCGCCATATTCGCACAATTAGATTTACAAATTTTTGGTTAATTGTTTGTGAAACAAAATTTCAAGGTTTCATTGAAATTAATTAAAAATTGTGACTATCAATTTTACAATTACAATTGCTAGGTTTCAAATCATCTCGTAAACTGTTTACATAATCATAATTGTTATCACTATCATCATCATCATCATCACCATTATCGTCATCACCATCATCATCATAATCATCATCATAGATAGATATTTTTATCTTCCAAATTATTCTAGCCCGTAACACCATCATCACCGGGTTACAATTATCATCATTTAAACATGCAGAATAAGTTTTGTTTGTATCATCATTATTTGCCCAGTCATGCGCCTAATGGTCATCATCATTTTAACGACGCAAAAAGCAAATTAAAACAGTTACTCCAAAAATGTTTAATAAATAAATAATTAATTAATTCACTAGCAAATAGTGAGCCCGTTGGAAAATAATTAGCAATAAACATTTCACGATTGACAAAAATTGCGAAAATGTGGTCAGTTCGGTAGGTGATAATGGCGATGATGAAGAAGATTTTTAATCATCACAATTTTAATATCATTTTAATTTTTATTATCACTTTAGAAATCATTTTTTCAACCACCGATGACTGATCATTGACTGATCGCTTGGGAATAGGCAAACGTATTTCTGAGCATCAACAATCGATAGCTAAACTTTTCAAACAAACTCTTATTACATTCTTAAATAACTTCATTGATTGACTGATGGCCGGTAATTTCCTTTTTTTTTCCTTTATGCATAAAGTGAAACTAGTACAAAATAGAAATGAATTTTGGAAAAACAAGTCTCATCAACTTTCATCATTATCGTTTTCAATCTGTATTAATGTGTGTGTGTGTGTGTGTGTGTGTGTTTGTGTTTGTGTGTACGTGCGTGTACGGCGTGTGTGTGTCCGTATATTTGTGTGCATGCGTGTGCGAGTATATATGTGTATGTGTCGGGTTGTCTATGTTTGTTTATGTTCTGTTTTGGAAGCCAAAATATATCGTTTCGTATCGTATCATGCCGTTTCGTAAGTAAATATGCAGTGTCTATTCTATTTTTAACTTAAACGTTTGTGATGTGCGTCTGTGTGTGTTTGTGTGTGTGTGAGTGTGTGTTTGTATGCTTGCGAACAGGCATTGTTGCATCATATTGTTGTGATGTAATATTAAAAATAAAAATAATAATAACAATAACAACATTAACAATAACAACAACAATAATAATACTACAACATTCAATCGATGGTGGTATTGTAATTCAAATGAGCATGTAATAGTAGATATCATAATTAAGTGATGTGCAGCTAAAAAAACCAATAAAGCAGGACTCACGCGGAAAGTTAGTGCTGGTCATTTAGTCACTTTTATTGGCCACCAGCCGTACCAACACGCCTCACTAACAAAATATTTATTGGTCAGTAAGTTTTCAACTTTTACGACTATAAGACCACATTCCTAGCTGCCTTGTTATGTTAATATAGTAAGTCTGATGTAACAATATGCTTGTTGAGTGAGATTTTTAATTAATGGCAATGATTTATTATATGGTTGTGATTTTGAATGTTAGAAACAATTATCTCCAAAGTGATAATAAAATTATTGGTAATAAAAATTATGAAGATGGTGATTATTACGATTGATTGCTAGATTGATTTGATGGTTGACTACTGAAAGAATAGATAGATAGATTGATTGATTGATGTTGATAGTCATCATCATCATCATTATCGCTATCATCATCATTATCGTCTTTTAATAATTTTTACCACCATTGTCAAATAACATAATGTAATAATATCACTGTCATCATCATCCATATCAACAAAATAAACATTATCATCATCACCATCATCATCACCATCATCATCACCATCATCATTATCAGTACTCACTGCAAGGCAAACATCATCCTTATCATCAGCATCATCGTAATCGTTAGCGTCATCATCGTCACTGTCATCATTCAATTATCATCGATAGTGTCCGAAGCATTAACGATCATGCCGTCAGGGCTATGCCATATTGTAGTACCCATGTTTGTTATCAATGTGGTGCTATTTGAAGAAGGGGAGGGGGTCAATTAGTGATCCATCTATGGTTGGTTCACAAATATAAACAAATAAACAACTGCGCGTGTGGTTTTGTGTTTGTTTGTATGTGTGTTTTACGTGTGTCAGTCTGTCTATGTGAATGTAAATGCATCTTCGTATATTCAAATTTGAATTTAACGCAACAATCCAATTTTTACGCTGATTATGTGCGCATACTTGCCTGCCTAAACGCTCACACACATATATTGATACATACATACATTTGAATACTCATAACTCATGCTTTGTAGAACAATTGGCTGGTTTCTTTACACAAATACACAATCAAGTTTACAAATAATTAAGTAAATAAATTAAGTAAATAAATTTTCGAATTTCTATATTTTTGTTTGGCAAGGGGTTCTGCCCGTGCTGTTTTGAATAATAATAATAAACAATACGATTAATAAAGTTGTAAACAATTTAAAGATCTAGTAATAATAATAATAATTATTTTAATAATTATAACAATAATAATATTAGAACCGATACTCGCATTTATAATTTTATTAATAGGAGTAGGAGAGCAAACATTACGTAAGAAGTTATCGTTTTCTCCTTAGGGGTCCAATTAACATCGTAAACTGACATCGTCTGCACTTTGTTTTATTGTACGTCTGTGTCTGTTTGTGTGTGTGCGTCTTTGTACGCGTGTCTGTGTACGTATGGTGTGCGTGCGTGTGCTAACATATGGACACGCGTTTTGAAGTTTTATTGCGTGTGGCGATTTTATTGGCTCGTTAAAATATGAGGAGGTGGGTGTGTGAATTGTGGTGAATATGTTTTTATTGGTCCTCCATTATCGATCGGCCGGTATATAAGCTGGTGATGTTTGCAAGTTAAAATCAAATTAAAATTTTCAAGATTTTGATACTATTTCTAATTTAATATTTTAATTGTGAATAGCAATTCTTTCTGTTAACTTCAGACAGATTTAAAAATCAATTCAACATTTGTAAACTATCATTTCAAATTGTTTAAATATCGGCAGCTGTACGAAAGCTAGGATTCTGTGAACAACGACAAAAGGTCTCCTAAAAAAGAGACACACTGCAAACAAGATCGCCATCACCAACCCAAGCAAAAGCATCACCACAATCTACTGGAACGTTGAACCAGAGAAGAACCAGCTTGCATAGATGGAGTCACAACAAATTAGTGAGAACGTCAACAACCAAGTAAAGAAAGAATTTGTCAACGAAAGTTATGATAGTGACGTTGTGTCTTGGCGGAGCCCGTCTGATGTTGATATTGTTGATGACGTAGTTGATGACGTAGCTGATGACGTAGTTGATGACGTCGATGTCATTGACAGCGGACTGGGCTCCAAAACGATGCCCAGCAACAGTTCTAACAACAGCAAACAAGGAAACAACATTCAGAGTGAAGAAGATGAGGATTACAAAGTAGCAAGCAATGTTGACGCTGAAAACGTGGAGCAAGAAAGGGTTTCAACAAATATTTTCAATATCAAGCGCGAAATTATCATGGCTCCGCAGGACTCTTCAACGCCAATTGTTGCAAAATTTAGAAAAAATTTATTTCGGCAATACGACTACCAGCAAGTGGCTGGCGACAGATCTCCGTTGTTTGCTGCAGATCCTTCGTTATCACTCTCGTTAACACCTCCCTACTCGCTACCTTTCAATCCTTTTCCTCTCAAATTCAATCGTCATAACTTCTTTCAAAATTACAACCCTCATCCCAATCACCATCATCAGAATGGCATGAGAACATCTCCGAAGCAGCAATATTTCTTCCAGCAAAATCGTTTACACCCAACTTCAGCTTCAACAAATTCACCAACGGCAACAAAACTTTCAAAAAATGCTTCTGCATTCAGCATTGATGCTCTGCTTAATGACAAATACAACAGCACAGAGGATGAAAATAAAATGAATAGAGGCAAACAAAACGATGACACCAACCACAGCGATTACGACAGCAATAGTTACGACAACAACCATTACGGCAACTATCTCTACGACAACAATGACTACAACAACAAATCAAACAAGCCGTGCAACAACTCGTACTCAAACTGCAAACGAAAGCTGACAATTGATTGTGATGATTACCAACCGGAAACAGTTGAAAAGAAACGGAAAATGTTGAAACTATCCGAAGAGGAAGAGAACGACGACGATGATGTTGGTGGTGGTAAGTTGAATTTTTAATTTTTATTCGAAGTTTGCATGTTACGCACGCTCATTGTGGATGTTGTGAACATTCGAAAGAGCGAATGATTAGCAAAATGAACGAGTAAATGTTTGAATAGAAGATTAAATTGGAATGTAAAATAGAAAATAAATGTGTGAATGAATGAATGAATAAATGACAATATGAAGGAACGAATGTGAATGAATGAATGAAAACATGAAATAATGAATGTAAATGTATGAAATAATGAGTTAGAATAGTTGAATGATTTCCTTAATATTTACGGCTTCTTATTAGCAATTCAACACGATTTGATTGCTCTATTGTTTCTTGCCTGACTGTTCACATCCTTCTAACTCGTCGCTAATTTATTGTTAGTCAGTTTGTTTGGAAAATCGCAGCAAAGCGGGTGGCATGCTTTTCTATACAAGCCATTTGCTTAACCTTTGCAGTTGACAAATTGCACGATCTTAACACCGATATTATTAATTATGCGTTTTAACAATTATTTGCATTTCTAATTGCAACAGTTTGACGCATTAAACTGCTTAGTGTAATGTAGGAACATTCATTCATAACAGACGTGTACGAACTGTTAAAAACAGACAAACACGTAACATACATATTCGATATCATTAAGCATGCCTACCTACCAAATGTATACTTTCATATCTATTAATATATTGATCCATTTATTCACCCACTAACAGTGCCCTGCGCCGATATCAACGGTCTTAATAAACTGTCGCCCATTCCACTTGCCACAGCGTTCAATTATCTACCAGAAAAAGTGGAACATCACGAAGAAAAAACTGAAGAAAAAACTGAAGAAAATCTTGTAAAAGTTGGCAAGATCGAATGCAAACTGGAAACCAAAGAGCTATGGGACAAGTTTCATGAGTTGGGCACGGAAATGATCATCACCAAATCCGGAAGGTTAGTTATATCCATTTAGACAGATTTATTTACTTTTACGCAGATATTTTGTAAACTTTTATCAAAAAATTATTGGCAATTTATTGACGTAACGAAGTTTTGACATCAAGCTTTTTTTTCCTTTCAGGCGAATGTTCCCAACTTTGCGAGTGACATTCACAGGACTCGACCTTGACGAAGAACACTTCTACACCGTCACCATGGACACTGTATTGGTCGACAACAAAAGGTTTTCATGATTTTTCTTTCACATAAACAAATTAATTAATTAATTAATTAATGGAAGTTTTAACACTTCCAATGTTGATACGTTTTTTTATATTATTTGTAAGGGTGTAATACAAATAATAATGTGAACAAATCGAATTATTCAGGTACAGGTACGCATATCACAGATCAGCTTGGTTGGTTGCAGGCAAGGCAGACCCCCCACTACCCTCCCGTATCTACGTACATCCTGACTCACCATTCACTGCAGAACAACTTCTCAAACAAACGGTCTCATTTGAAAAGGTCAAACTGACCAACAACGCTCTGGACAAAAATGGACACGTTAGTACGCTAAATTGAAAATTTTAATTAACTTAATGCTATTTTATAAAACACATTTTTGCGGATTTCTTACGATGTGCGTGACTGTGACCAACTTATGAAGTTAATTCACGTTAAAAGATAATAGAAATTCATGCAATTATGAAATCACAAAGATATGATAGTGTTGCAATTTGAATGTTATCAACTGATTTATTTTTTAATTTTATTTTACCTCTTTCATTTGTTAACACGAGCAGATAATTTTGAACTCCATGCACAAGTACCAGCCACGCATCAGATTGTTTCGCCACAAGAGAGATTTAAACGCCAGCATCTCTGCCGATAATGATCGTCGTGATGACGATGATGTCGCAACATTCATCTTTCCTGAGACTGACTTCATCGCCGTGACAGCCTACCAAAACCAACTGGTCAGTTGATCACAATTAATTCATCCCAATAAGTTCATTAGTTCTTTGTAATAAATCTTCCATAATTTATTCATCATCATTGAATCGTTTATCATTAACATGTTAGGCAATAGACACTCTGCTTGAATTTGTACTCTTGAAACATTTACTGCTTTTTGTAATGCTGTTGAAACTATAAATAAATATTTCAAGTTTATTAATATTTTTGTTAATTTTCAACAGATTACAAAATTGAAGATAGACAGCAATCCATTCGCCAAAGGATTTCGGGACTCATCGAGACTCAATGAAGAAAGGTTGGTCATTTAAATTATTTTGAATAAGTTACATTGTTTTTAAAACATCGACATCAATGTGCAATGTCCCAATCGAGACCATCGAGTTTACTTGAAAATTATATTTATTTCAATCATTCCCACATTTCTGTAATTCAACTTGAATGAAACCCAGTTAAAATTGATTAAACTAACAACAAATAAACTTTTGCAGGGACTCCTTCGCAAACCAGAGTACAGTTCACTATCCACCTGCACTACAATATCATCATCAGCCCAACAACTTCTTGTACAATTTCTATCCGTACGCGAGACCACCACCGCCACCAACAGCAGCGGCAGTCCATAACAATGGAGGTTTCAACTCTTTGTTATCCCAAATCTGGCCAGGAAAAAATTGCGCTAAAGAGTTGATGTTACCTGAAGACTCAGTTGAAAATAAAACAGGTTGATATTTTTAACACTTAATACAATTCGTTACTGCACGATTTTTAGTAAACGCGAGTATAAAATAATTTTGTATCCATAAACGTAATTCAACTTTAAAAAATCTATCAACGCAAGCTTCGGAAAAAGACGAGTCTGGAGATAAATTGTCTACATCATCGTCGTTATCATCATCAAGACTCTCGTCGTCTTCATCATCGTCATCATCACCGATGTACGAAAACCACAACGGAAAAGGAGGAATGGTGCGTCCCAATTTCAACATGCCCCCACCGGATGGTCCACTGAAATCCCATATGGCTGCCAACTTCCTGCACTTTTACAACCTTCTACGAATGAACAAAATGAATAACTTCTGAGGGTGGAATTTGAGAAACATCAAAAAATTAACTAAAGACAACAATTTCTTGTATTAAAATATAATTAAAAAAATATTACTTTATCTTCTTCATTACCAAATTCTCCTGTAAATCTATTTATCAAATTTCTGCAAAGAAAATTTTTTAAATTAATGTTGAAGTTTTGAATATAAACACAAAATTGAATTGTTCAACTCAACTGAATCGACTGCACGCAAAATATTTGAAATTAATATTAAAAGTTTGAAAAGAGAATAGTTGAAATTTCTCTGATTATCTCCTATGTTATTTGCGTTTCATTATATTCTTTAATATTGCTAATTATTATTGAAACAATATATATATATATATATATATATATATATATATATATATATATATATATATATATGGAGAGAGAGAATAGATGTATGAGGGTCGCCGCATCTATCCTGGGTACTTCGAATACAAATGCTACTACCTTGGTGTTTTGGTCGATCGACGCTACCAAAAATCCAACGCTGAGTTATTTTGGCTACCTCGCTCCAAGTCTTTTTTGACGACGGTCAATCTGCACCACGTGACCAGGGTCATCGATTCGGATTTGATTTTAAATCCAGTAACCACGGAGCTCCCTCAGGGTGTTGAACCAGTCTGGAAGCGTTTTTGGCGTCTAGGCTCAATGCACAATCAACTGTCGATTGGCTGACTAAAAAAACAGCTCACTAGCGAATAGCTAAAGTTAGATGGTACAGAATAGATGACGCTAAAATTAATAATTTGTTCACAAATTATTTTAATTTATAACTACCTTAAAAAACAATCGTTTAGACTGAATGGAATCTTAACAAGCACGGAGCTGCCAGTTGTAATTGATCTCGTCGAGGGATCCACGTTTTTAGCAAACAATGATTATATGCAAACTTTTGAACAGATTCAGTTTTTATTAACACAGATCAACAACAAAAAATTAGTTCCTTATGAAATAGATAACATTTTCGACATAATATCACACATTATTAGACGTTTATCGGCTCCGTCTACTCAGCTTGGATCATCAAGCTGATTGGGCTGTGACACGCCGAGCCGCGTCACTAACAAGTTAAGTTAATTCAAGCCAGTACCAAGAGTTGTAATATCAATAAGTTTGCCTAAGTTGCTGTCAATGTATGGTTGATGGATCCATGCAGCAGAGTAGACCAAAAAGACATCTTTATCAACATCGAAACATATGTTATTCTTAATCACTTTCTTCACCTCCAATTCTTTTTGGTGCATTGCCGTTATGTCAGCAAAAATATCACCTTAAATGTAGGAAAACATTTAATTATTATGAATGGTATAGAAAATAAAATAATTTGAAAACAAACGTAATGCGAAACCGACCTATATCTGATGTGCTTAACAATGGAAACCCTGAAGTCATGTTAGACTGAATCTCGAGCTTTTCAGTTTCTCTTGTTAATAATGTTAAATTTTCGAGTTTATCCACAACAGACTTGAGCTGGTTAATTAATTCGCCAAGTTTGTCTGCATCAGTTTGTAGTTTTAAAATCAACTTTGTGTCGCTTGCAGTTGGTACTTCTCTTTTGATTAAAATTTTAGTATACGCAATTTAATAATTAAACAAACAAATTCAAAAATGGAGAAAAGATATAGCAATTGCAGCTGTTTTTGATGACATGAATTATATTAATTTTATAATTTATTATGTTGAGAACAAAATAATTATTTAAAATTTTAGAATGGATTTCAAATTAAAAATAAAACTAACTAAATCAATAATAAATAAAAGATAAAATGAAAAATTATTAATTTAATTTCAACCTAAATAGCAAACAAACCCATTTTCGATTAGAGAATTAGAAATGCTTTTAATAATGTTGAACCCCTCACTGTTCAGTTCTTCCCATCTGGTAACTTGGTTAACGAAATCCACACATCTGTCTCTTGTCTTGCGGCAGGTACCAGTCAGGTTGTTCTGCGGACTCTTCACAACTGCTGATAATATGCACAGAAAAAAAAATCATTAACGCTGGCTTCACTCATTTGAGAACACTTAGATAAAATGTCATCAAAAAATTGATGAATAATGATGTTTTTCTTTGATTTTGTTAATAAAAAGGCAATAATAAGCATGCAACAAACATACACAATAATCTATGGTCTGGAATTGTAGAGTTAGGATCATTTGTCAAGGCTAGACTAAACAAACGTTGCCATAAACTCATCAGAGTCCATGTTGTGCAACCTTTGCAGCTCCACTTTCTCTTTCAAGTTCTTCAATAGTTAAAAACTTCTGAGATACTGGCTGCTAATAACTACAACATGGATAACCCCAGGGCTGAAAATCTAGCATGTTGTTTGATAATGTCCAAACTATATTATTGCTACTCAATAATGTTTGGCATATCCCAGAAGCAAAAAACAGGTGTTCATAGAATGATGAATAGGGCTGCCAGAGTTGAACTCAGTATTGATACACTGCCTCATCTTCCAATATCTGTATTATCAAATTTAAAAAGCCTTCATTAACTTCCATTTCATTTCAATATAGTGTTCAGTATAAAACTGCCATCATTGTTTTCAAGTTGTTGTCATCCCACTCGACGACATACCTCGGCAGTCTTCTTCACCTAAATATGAACCATCAACATCTACACTCTGCCAAGGCTCCATCAATTCTTCAAAATATTTCATCAACCAAAACTGGGAAACAACCACTTTGTCATGAAGCTGCTAATGTCTGAAATTCTCTGTCTCCTGACATCAGAAATGCTGGCTCGCTCCATGAATACAATTCAAATCAACATTGAAAACTAATTATTTTAATGCTGCTTTAAAATTTTAAAAATTTTAATTTGTAACTTTGATTTTATTATTTGCCTCTGTCGCTTGCATTGCACATCACAAATGACACGTTTTTATTATTTAATTAACCATTGAGCTATTACGTCACCAAGATTGTGGTTTTATTCTTTTCAACTTTTAAACTACATACCATTAAAACGTGTTCTTAAACAAATTATTTTTCTGACTGTACTATAATTATAATATCAATCAATCAATCTTCACTTAGCATCCAGAGACCCAGTTCCCCCGAGGTAGGACATTGTTTTCTTTACCATCAATTTTTTGCGCCAAATTAGGCGATCAGTTGTATCAATTTCATTTAAATTTAGAGCTTTCATGTCTTTCTCGAATGTTTGCGACCAGGACTTTTTTGGATGGCCCTTGGGACGTGTGCCAGGTACTTCAACATCTGCTAGAAAAGTTATGGCACTGTTTCTATTTCGTTTGACATGACCAAACCACCGCAGATGGTGTTGCCGGCATTCTTCCTTTATATCATCTAAACCAGCACAACGCAGGATTTCGGTAGATTTGATGTTGTTGCGGTTGCGTTTGATGATGAGAACACCGAACCAGAAGAGCAGTGAGCAGGAGAAGAAAAGAATAGTATTCGTTTGGATAGGCTGGACACGTGTTTCGTCCCTACCGGGGACTCATCAGCAGCCCGAATACCTATCAGAATAGTTATCGCAGTTTCTTATAAAGCCTGCACACAAATCAACTCCTTATTTCGTGGTGTTTTATTTATTAGTCTTTTTAATCGCTAGGATTTTCAATCCAACAATGTGGTCCTTCAGACTAATTTGTTGCATCCATTGGAGCATTTTCATATCAGTTCGTTGAAGTTGTTGTTCCAGTTTGGTTGTTATTGGCCATGTTTCTGCACCATATAACAACACCGGACGTATCACAGATTTATAAAGTCTTGATTGTAGTGGTAGTGAGATGTCACGCCTAATCAATATAGAGGCAAGGAGATGCCATTTATTCCAGGCTGCATGTTTGCATGCTTGAACGGCAGCTTCAGCTGTTCCAGTACAATCCAGAACTCCCCTAGATATTGAAACCATGTAACTTTCTCTACCTTAATGGCTTCAAAAACATTGCTATTTCGAATTTGTTGTTGTGGATCGGTGCAAGCAGGACAAACAAAATTGGACATTTTAAAATAAGTACCAATAATTTTTGAACAACGTTTACGACACCACTGGTATTATACTATAATTATAAAAGAGTTACGATGCTTGTACTATAGTACCATACGGATACTAGTATGAATTAAAGCTTAAAAAACCAAACTCCATTTTTTTAAAATAAGAAAAATTTATTTTAATTAATTAAATAATAAATCTACACCAGTTGTTTTATTAAGTTTATAAATGAAGAGGTTAAGTAAAATGGTTACGCCTTTAGGTTTAGTTAAACTTCAAGTTAATCAATTTTTTAATTAATAATGGATTAAGATTTTGTCTTTTATTTTCATTTTTAGGCGTTTTTTCAATTAAAAATTAAACTTCTAGTTTTAAATTTAAAAGATGGTTTTGTACAAGTATTAATAGATGTATAGGATAAAAACGTTGTTAAATCATTTTCAATCAAAATTTAAGTTTAAAAAAAAAATTGTGAGCGGACCTAACCTGGCGATCTAACTTTAGCCGGAGTTGATGTTGACATCGCCATCGGCGAACAACAAACAACAGTAAGGCGAGCAGCAGGTGGAATAACAAACTAGGTTAAAAGTGAAGTACGATTGAATTGATAAAAATCGTTATCAATCCACACATGTAGAATAAAATATCTGTCTATGCATGGTGATATATTGATATATATATATATATATACATATAACATCTAATAACAACGAAACTTTCCAATATTTCAGACTCGCCGGTTACTAGCTTTCGTCTTATTGTCTCCAATATTGACTTTTGTATATTGTTCTCTATGACTTCAATCTCATCTTTTCTGACAATACCCTACAATAATTCGGTAACGATACTCACGACAGGAATAAGAGCTAGTAGCTTTCCGCTAGTGTAATGTGTGTATTTACATGGAATAAGCTGGGACTTGAGAGCCATACATGACCAACTCGATCAAACGCATAAAACAAATTTACTTCAAGTGTGAAATGACGTATAATATAAACAATTGATTCAATCAAACAACTAAGATGACAAAAAATAAAGGTTGCAGTTGTTTCAACAAGCACATGAATAAGCTATATGTGAAAAATAAATGAAAACTTGAATTATATAAAAAAACAAGACAAAAGTCAAATAATTTTGACACCATTCATTTTGATGTAGGAGCAACTGCTGGAGGATTTGAGGCGGAAGAAGGAAGTCCATGTTGAGCATGACCCGGATATGGAGCTGCTTGACCCGGATATGGAGCTGCTTGACCCGGATATGGAGCTGCTTGACCCGTATATGGAGCTGCTTGACCCGGATATGGAGCTGCTTGACCAGGATAAGGTGCTCCCTGGCCCGGATAAGGTGCAGCTTGACCCGGATAAGGTGCAGCCTGACCCGGATAAGGTGCAGCCTGACCAGGATAAGGTGCTCCCTGACCCGGGTAAGGTGCACTTTGAGCCGGATAAGGTTGATTATGACTAGGATACGGAGCTCCTTGACCAGTGTAAGAAGCACTATGACCTGTATAAGACTGACCTTGACTTGCATACGATGCTCCTTGCGGTGGACAAGCCGCGCCTTGACTTGGGTATGGAGCCCCTGTTTGTTGACCCGGATAACCAGGAGGAGCAGGCTGACCTGATTAAATTTCACAAAATATATATAACTATATAATATATAAACATTAAAAAAATATAAATGAAAACGGAATTTTTGTAAAAAAAACTATTTGTAACAAAATTTAAATGGATTTAGTTTATTATTTAACAGTGACAGCGGGCCTATGTTGTAAAAAATTTTCAAATGGTAAGCTCAACAACCTGGATATTGTCCAGGATAACCTCCAGGATATTGTGCAGGAGGGTAACTTCCGGGATAATGCCCTTGGCTTGATTGTTGGCTAGGTTGATAACCGGATTGGTGGCTAACATAATTCAACATTGTTTGTGCAGCCGGACTGAATGGTTGCTGAGGAGGCTGATGGGCCGGATATTGACCTGAATATCCTTGCGAAGGATATGCTGCAGGTGGTTGCTGTTGTTGGGCCGCAGGATTGTATCCAGGTTGCTGAGAAAGAGTTGTACTCGGCTGGCTGGATGGAGGATTGGTTGATGACTGCTGTGCAGTCTGCTGTATGGAAGAAACACCAGGATACATTGACTGTTGTTGTGTCGTGGCTTGGTTGGCACTCGCAACCTTTAGAAAATGTTTAATTAACAATTATGAAAAATAATAACAATCTTATTATTAAAAACGACAATAACAAGCTGGAAAAAGTAATAAAGCATAAAAATTGATAGAACTTCTGATTCCAAATTTCCAAAGAACACATGTGAAAAAAAAGAAATAGACCATCTTAACGGCGTTGTGATCAAATGGTTTGGGCTTCTCAGGTTCAATATTATTCATTCTGAAGTATTTGACAACTTGATCGGGAATTTCAGCAAGGACTTGTTTGGCGAGGGCAGCTGGCGAGGCCTATAGACATTTGAATATTTACATATTTAGAATATATTTGAATATTATTGAATATAAATTTCTTATTTATTAATTCTTATTTACTGAAATAAGATGAAACAGATATCGTTTGCTGAATGGAAACAATAAAAAATGTTTTTATGTTGACAGTTTTTATAAAACCACATCCTCTTCGCCAGACATCACATTTTGCAGGCGCTATTCAGATATCACCTTGAGAAATAGTCTCGACTATATTAAGATGAAACCAAAGACCATATAACAAACAACAAATAACCAACCACCAACCCTCTCATAGTTCCTGAAAGGCACAAATTGAACTATATCACGTTTGGCCACATTGCCCGACGAGTCTCTCAGAACGCCATTGTCACCATCCAAAATATCCATGGCCTGGAAGTCTGCATCACCGACGCCGATGATGATGATGGAGTAAGGTAGGGCAGAGGCATAAACAATTGCTCTCAACGTGTCTTGCATGTCTGAGATGACTCCATCAGTGATGATGAGCAGCACGTAATAGTTCTGTGGAATGAAATCAAACATTTCATATAAACATAAGAGAGAGTAAAAAAGAAGTGATTATGAAGACGTAAAAGATTACGTTTGATCATAAAACTGGAGAAAAACATGACATAAGCATTAGTAATGCACGTAGGATTGCAGCTACAATGTTTGTTCATGCACGAAACAAAAATATTCACATCAAAATATTAATAAAACTGCAAATCTTTTGTGAAAATTATAATATGCAAAAGCACCAAAAACAATATGGTGATAAACATAATATGATGTAAGAAGATATAAATTTATGTCCGTAAAATATGAATTGAGCAAAATCCAGAAGTAAACATTCATTGGCCAGATCACAGACACTTGGAATGAATGATGCAATCACTAACCGAAGGTCTGCGATCCTTTTGGGATGCAGCAGCAAGTTGAGCAACATGGTAGATGATTGGAGAAAAATTTGTTGGTCCGTACAACTGGATTCTGGACAAGCACATTCTGTATGCATCCAAAATTCCTTGGACACCTACACGGTATAATTAAGACTATTGTTGGCATACAATTTTCAAACCGTTGGAAAAATAATTTTCATATTAAACGAGCAAAACAATGAAACATCCAGAGCCCACCCGCACAAAAAGGGTTTGAAGTGTTGAAGTTGAGAGCAAAGCAATGAGAGACTTCCATGTTGGGAGGTACCCTGGCTCCATATCCCAGCGATGGAAACATCTGGTCACTTCCATGCGATGAGAGAAAAAATATTTTTGCTATGTTATTAATTGAAAAATAACTTAAATTAAGAAGATCTGAAATGCTTCAAAAGACAATCCATTTCTGAGCAGTTACATATGAATAACAAATATTTAAAAAAGTGTATATGATCCTCAAAGTAAAAACACATAAAAACTTTATTAAAAATCATACCACCCTGTTTGTTGAAGAAACATTTAATAGCTAGCGAAACAACATGCAAAACATCAAGAAACACAACAACGTGCAACTTGAATACATGTACAAGTTCATGAACTGACCTGTCATAATCCTGAATGACCTGTCCAACTGATTGGATAGCCCTCATGTAATGATTGGGTTGACTTGGGTTCATGTAGTGCAGGGATTGTGGAGTGTTCGGATTTCCATTGGATGCCGTGAAGTCGATGCCCACCTGATATGATAGACCAATTGCTTCATACTGCAGTATTAACTAGGTAATTCGTGCATCATCTTGCTGCCAAGATGATTTTAACATCATAAATAATAGAATGGTAAAAAACATAAACAACAATCTGCTTTACAAGAAAGTGCAAAGGAAAGAGCTCAATCAAAGGAAATTATGAAAACGAAGATGAAATGGCTACAGAAGAAAATTTTTGAAAGTAGAGGTAGGTACAAACAGTGAAGTTGATCTGAAGTCCTCCAAATACGTAATCCAAAAATGAAAACTCCTTCGTGACCTTGGAGTAAACAAACATTCAGCGATTAACGTTGTGCATTCATTAACAATTTTTGTATAATTATTTGCATATTTTAAATACAAATACTTTTACAAAGAGGTAACCAATCTGTATTTTAATGAAAATGAATCATAAGTGCTAATTGTTTGAAAACTGATGGTGGAAAGTAATTAAGTTGAAGGTCATTGAACCTTGCACGAGTTAAGCATAACAACTCCAGAATTCTGATAGCCCTTCTTTTTAGCCCTCTTCTGTGCATTTATGCACGGCCATTGAACCTGAAAAAGTTTTTCACGTTTTCAAATTTTTCAAAATTAAACCCATCAAATACAAATGTTTGATAAAATTAGCAACTTTTTCCTCCCATGAAACACTTGAATTTTCGTCATCAGCAAATGAAAATTTGAAAGTAAACTATTAGTTACAGTTAAACAATGTAGGCCTCCTGAATGTGAATCACTTCTGTGACTATGAACCAACCAGTATTGAACGACAGCCATGAATGAACAGGAAGCACCAGCCAGCCAACCAACCAAACCAACCAACCAACCAACCAGCCAAACAACCAGCCAAACAACCAACCAACCAACCAACCAACCAACCAACCAGCTAAACAACCAACCAACCAACCAACTAGCAAACCAACTGCTTGCTTACTTACCACTTTACTGGATGCCTGCATCATTTCTTCGACAGTCGTCTCGAAACTTCCAATGAAGTCATGTGACCCATCATTGTCGTGGTCGTAGCAATCAACCTGAAAATTAGGCATGGCAGGAACATGTGATCATTTATGAAATATCAAAATTCCTAAAATTTAGCCATCACATATTTAGGTAATAAAGTATTTCATAAAAAAACTGAATGGGTGTAAAAAAACTGAATAGATTAACCTAACAATATAAACGCACTAAACAAATAAATTAGAGTGGTTTGACGATTTAAGTGGCCTAAACTCTTTATCTCTTCAATAAGAGAAATGAAGGTGTAGTGAATGATGCAACCAGTAACACGCACGCACACGCGCACGCTCACGAGACACAGACAACTGAACTTCGAAACATGACGGACACACAAAGCCACCTTAACTTGTTCCTTGATGTTACCGCCAGACAACTTGGATGATTTTATCTCAAAAGCCCGCCATCTCGGATTCAAATCATTCTTCACGACCTTCAAGCATTCAATTTATTTCAAGGTTATTAAAAAATAAAAAATAAAATCTAAGATGAATTGGAAAAGTTAGCGACCTCAGTCCTGTGGACGAGTTGGAATGTCCCTTCCTTTGTTCTTCTACTGAACTCCAAGTATGGGTCAGATTTACCTAACAGGTCCTATATATTGTAATTTGTATTGTACTGTATCAATATACTGTACTGTCTACTACATGACGAAAAAATAAATAAATAAATACATTACTAGAATAAAAGATTACTACAGTTAGTATCATAGAAAGCATAATAACAAGTATTACCAGAGTTAATATAAAATAAAATTTATATATATTATAATATAATATATAAATTTATAATAACTTTATAAACAGTGCATGCAATGATAGTATAATAGCCTTATTATGAATTAATAATGAGAATACTAATAATAATAATAGTAATAATAACAACAATAATTTAATAATAATCATGAATTAATAAACTACTAAATGATAGTCAAATGAGCCTTATAGAAAGAGAGATGATGACAATTGCAAACAACTGGCAAGCCTAACAGCAAGCCGATGATGCAGATGCTAACAAGGAAGTTGAGTTGAATGCAAAATTAATCAATTGCAGCTTTACCAAGTAAATTAATTTATTGTTTGTCATAAATATAAATATACATATATAAATATACACATTCACACGCACACATTCACGAGTGTGTGCACTTGTGTGTGTTTGTGGTGTGTGTGTGTGTGAAACTCAAACTACAAAACCCATTAAAACCAAATTCATTTAAAATTTGATTGAATCAAAGTCAGTTTGATCAGAACGTTAGTGATATTAATGACAATTTTTGTCTATTATGTTTTTATTCATTTATATTTTTAATAATTTATTAATATAGGTGGCTGCATTAGATGTAAAAATCATTACTGTTTGAAAAATCACCTGGATACAATGAATCAACTAGATTGGACAGAAAATGTGCGGAACAGTAATGTGAAACAAATGCAAATTTTTGTGAAGAGTTATGATGCTTTTTCCTCAGTTGGAATGATGGAGAATAAGCAATATTTACAAAGTTCATAATTCAGTTGATGAGTAACATTTTGAAAGTCAAATAATGAGCAACAAAACCTGAATGAAGTGACAAAAAATGTTGAAAATTGAATAATAGAAACTATGGGAAAAACTTAGTTGTAAAAATGTAGGAAAGAACAATTGTAAAATATGGAACTATTTATAACCAAATAGAAAAAGTGAATAGATCCGAAAAGAGTGCTATATACAGTTTTTTTAGATATTTAAAGTTCAGTGCAAGTTCTGTTTTACATAATGTCAGACCTATTTTTAATAAACATTCATAAAAATATCAATGATGATGACTGTGGCATGGCCATGATGATACCTTAAACTTTTAGAAATACATATTATATTACAAATTAACATTTAAAAATGAGGATGTAAATTTTTATAACAAAACATTCACTTAAGTTTATGCATAACTAACCATCATGTGTGTCAATGCTTAAGGAGTTAATTTTTGCTAAAAGTTTGTAAAAATACAACAATTTAGTCAATGTAATGTATCGATGTTAAAACTAATTTGTGAGTTTCTTTGTTGTACTATTTATATTGTACAATCATCAACATCATCAGCATCAACTTTTTCCTTGTCAATACCATTATCACTGCCTCATCAACACCATCATCATAGTCATCAATCATGCCATCACCAATTAACCATCAACATTTTTGCAATATAAGAATTAGTCACCTTTTTATCAAGGTTTTTGGCACTGAACTGCAATAAAAGAATTTCACTGGATTGAGCTGCCTCAGTTGCTCTGATCTGTGCATTTCAAACATTATATTATTTCATATGTGAATGTATGTTTGATTGAAACTCATATAACAATTACAAGACCAACAAAATCACACACAAAAACCCTCAGATAAAACAAGTACCCAACTCTCTAATTACACAACTGAACCACATAATAGCCAATGTTTTAATTAGCAAAAGGCCTAAATGTAATAATAAATCTGAGTTATAATTGTCACAAACTGAACTGTGATGTGAAAAATAAAAATTAACAGTTATGGTGCTCTTTCCAGCAACTTTGCCATTCTTCAGGAACAAAGGCTTTGAGTATGGGCTGTTTGATACAATCTAATGAGAAAAAAAACTTTTAACTAAGCATTTAAATCATTTAAATTAATTTATATTTAATTTGCAAACTTGAAAAAGAGTAACAGAAGGGGGAAGAAAAAAAACTGGCCTCTCCTAGAGTGCATTCCACAGAACCAAGAAAATCATCGTCATCCAGAGTTTGTGTAGAGTTGTCAATGTCGTAAACTAAAAATCTAATTTTTTGAACCTCCTCAAAATAATAATCAACTTGAAAAATCTTTGCAAACACTGGATTCAAAGAATTTTTGATGTTTTCAGTTCTCCCAATCTGGAAATTTTTTTATTAAAGTTCAAAGTTTAAATTAATTAAAGAATTGATTATGATCAATAAATATTGAAACCAGAACTGAAAAAAATTTAATTAGCTAACTAATGAAAGTTTAATTTAAAATTTAACAGTTAATAACACCAGCACTAAAAAAATAAATTGAAAATAAAATTTTAAAAAATGAATTGACAGAAAAAAAATAAAGCAAAAAATTAAAGTTTAAACAAAACAATTATAATTATCATTATAACTATTAATTAAAAAAAAATTAAATAAAGATTAAATAATATTAAACTTTAACAATTAAAGCCTTAATTAAATTAAATTAAAGGTTGTTAAAGTTAAAAGTTAAAACTAAACGTTAAATTTTAAAAATTAAAGTTAAAAAACAAGTTAAATTAAAATTGTTAAACCTCAGTGAAAACATTGGGTCCTGTCATCAGCTGGACGACACAACAAGGATCAGATAGCGAAGTCACATCTCTATTCATCAAACTGTTACATCGAATGGACAGCTCTATTTTCGAAACAGGATCGGAGGCCAGTCTTTTGGCCAACAAACTGGACATGGTGACAAGAAGTAAACTTTTAATTCTCAATCAAATTAATTTGAATATCTGTTGCTAATATCTGTTGCTGTTAAATATTAATGTTACGTGAGTCATCGACGACTTACGATGAATTGCGCTTAGCGGTGCGTGAAAAATTTGTCTTCACCGGTCTAATTTCGGCCTAAACGAGTAAATACAAATAAATGAACCGAGAGTGCATTAGATTAGAGACGCACCGAATATTCGGCCGAAACAAGAAAACCGAATTTTACGGTTCGATTTCGGCCATATATATAGAATAAATATATGTTTAAACGAAATTAAAAAGGCCACAAACGCTCTGGATAAATGATATATTACTGAATTCTTCTTATTGTTATGTTAAAATATTTGTTTTTGGCCATTTAAAGATAAGTTTTGCCGTGTTTTGCATGTTTGATTGGAAAATTAATCCTGAGACGTTGTTGTGGCTTAACAAAACTTCAAAAAACAATTTAATCTTTTAATTAACAAAATGAAAGACATTCAATTTATCAAATTAAAACGTCTGCTCTATCATTTTTGCTGATATAATTTCATTTGTTGACAGGCTTGACACAAAAGTTGTCTTTTTTATTCTGAAAAATTTTTACTCGTTTCAAATTTGATAATTTAAACCATTTATCGTCACGCAATCATTTTCACATTATATTACTACCGATTGCATTGTTATTGATGAAATAATAGTTTCGTTTTCCCGTACCACCGTTTTGCAAATACAAAAGTATTAGCACTGGTTTTTAAAAATGAGTATTGGTGTCGGAAATACATTTTAAAGCCGGTATATGTATCATATCGGCAATAAAATATATGAGTATTGCTAACAACCCCGGTTTTAATGTAATAAAGATAAGTTGCAATAATAAATGTTTTTTTTTGTTTTCTTACAGTTATTTTTTAACTGCAATATTGCTGTAAACCCTCAAAGCGATTGCTATGTCTGTTTAACACAACGATGTTAAAGTCTGTTCAAGTTCAAACTGGCACATAACTTGTAGACATAAAAATAGAACTTACATAAACTAAATGCATCACGTATATTAGCTATTATAAAAGAAAAGCTATTATAATAAATGCAAGACATTATGAATAATATTTAAAAAAAAATAGTTAAATGGCCATTAATGTTAAATCACGCAAGCCGTGGAGTTCAAGAGAAAATTGATTTAAACATTAAAAAATGTAATGATTGACTGGCTGGCTGGTAGTTCTTAATGAACATTAACAGTTAATAACAGTTAGGTTAGGTCGGATTATTTGGTTCATGTATACGTATAGAAAGTGGTCGGTTTTGTACAAGAATTGTTAACGATGTCGCTAAAATACATTTCTAAAGTAAATTTTTGGTACTTAACCTTGGTGATATGTTGCTTTACTTACGGAGATTATTTGAGGCAAATTAATCGCAGTTGAAAAAATAAAACAAAGTGTTATCTACTAAAAAATAACGTTTAACATCAAAGGCGAAGTATATACAAACATATTTGAGAAACAAGGCAGGCAAAATCACTATGAACTAGTGAAAACAAAACTGCGTATTAAAAATTTAATGAATATTATTTTAAAAATTGAAAATCATCAGGCAAATCTATAACACTGTCCTTTCTAGCCACAAAGAACTTGCAGTTCTTAAAGTCAAAAAATTAAAAAATTTTACTTACACAAAAAATACATACAAAACAATAAATACACAAATCTATAAAATACCTTTTTCTAATTGATAAAATATTTGATAGCACTTTTACAAAAATATTTAATCTCTAACTATCGTGGATTTATATATAAATATTCTGCAGTCAAATAAATTCAATAGGCCTCTAACTAAAATCTTAAAATGTTAAAACTATTTTATCAACATTTTATTCCTTTTTAAATAAATTTCAAATTAGCAAATATGAATCAAAGTGGAAAATGTAGGAAATTGATTATTAAAGAGTTAACGTGGATACGTAAATTATGATGTGCATCAGATGTTCGGACAAGTATCCAGATTTCATATTCGAATACATCTTCAAGTAAGTCTTCAGCGATATTTCCAGCTCGTACGTGGCGGCACCTCTTATGGACCTCAGCAAGTATATTTCACCTAAGATGTTTTCAAATGATGACTCATTTTTTTTAACATAATACATGCACAGAAATTAAAAATCATTTTTATTTATTAATTTACAATTTTCATTTTTGTGAGTTAATTTCAACGGAGAAAACCCGCTCATCACAATTGTTTTGATCCATTTTTGCTCAAAGCTAACAATTTGTCATGTCTTTAGTTTAGCCTTCCTAAACTCAGTGTCTTGTCTCAGTGTCAGTGTCTTGAAAACAATTTGATACAATTTGCCTTATAATTCTGTAATTCTTTCGTAAACGTTTTGTTTCCTCAACTGGCAACGCAACATCTAATCTTGTTTCAGTTCAAATTACAAATATCTTAATCTCAAGTTAGTGAAATAAAAGAGTGCTTGTCAGCCACATGCTTCGAAAGTTCATCTGTCCATCTGCGTTGACGGCTGTGGCAGCCAAGTTGAAGCTCTTTGATTTATGAAACAAATTTAAACTTCAACCACAAACATTTCCAAGTACAAAACGTTGTTAGCGATAAAAATATTGAAAGGTATTGTAACAACGGTATGGTAGGAAAAGTTACCTTTATCTCCAAACCAGTCTGAAACTTTGTGAATCTGAAACAAATCGTTTGCATTGCCATTATCTTTACCGGAAAGTAATCTGGTGTTGACTAGAAGGAACTCATAAGACAACCGCCTGTCGACATTTTCAGGTTGAATGTTGATGATGGTGGTGGCGGTGCTCAACTGGGGAATCGAAGCCAGGCTCATCTGGTTCCATTGAATGGATAGTGTACTGTTGCTTCTACAAGCGACATCCGACGGTCGGCTGCTCCTTCCACACTTCTTCTTCTTGCAAACCACTCCGCTTGAATCGCTGGCACTGTGTGGATGTGGATGGCACAATCATTCAAGCTCTTTCGATGTTCTGCTCACAATGTAACTTTAACAATATTTACTTTAACGGTTGCGATGATGATTACATAATAAAAACAATAACAAAATTATCATTACAATAGCATTTAGTTGAATAAAAAAGTTTCATTGCAAACAAAACAGAATTATTTTATTACATTACATTGCATCAATTACATCATTACATTACATCAATTGAACGACCACAAGGAAGATTCATAAATAACGCAACAACACTTTGTTTGTATACACCATCGGTATAACAGTTTCAATGCACCCACTCATGCATACAGACACAAACATGTAAACTTGGTAAAAAGCGTATACACAATAACACAAACGCATACACATATACGTGCACACACAAATACACAGATACATGTAGACAAATACAAAGTAGTGTTCAATGATATCAACACCTTAATTGCAGACTGCAAACTTGCTTATTAAAAATATTTTCGGTAATTTGAACGATTTTATCTGTTCTCATAAATGTAGATTTTAAGATTTTAATATTTTTTGTAATTTGCAATTTGTGGATTTTGAATAAATAATAAATCAACAACGTGCGATGTATAAGCGTACATGCCCACACACCAAACACACACAAACATACACAAACAGACACACACAGGCACGCACACACACACACACAAACAATTCGAAACAACTTAAAATATTACAATGAGAATGATACGTGACTAAAATTGATGAAGGTTTCTATGATTATAGAAGGAAACAAAAACATGCTATTAATAATACTTCTTACATAAACAATATAGCTCTCAATTCTGATGAATATTTTGTTTTGGCGTTTGCTGCTTGTTGTTGAAGTTGTTGTTGGTGTGGTTGTGGCTGATGTCGTTGCGAACCTGCCGTTTGGTAACGCTGCATTTGATGATGATTATTATTATTATTTTGCTTGCTGTAGTAGTCGTTCATCGATTGATCATGTGAAGCAACTTTTGAATGAAAATCCTTCTTTCGTTTGGTTACCTGTTGCTCTTGGTGTTGTTGCTGCTGATGTTGTTGCTGATGTTGTAGAAAAAATTGATGAGTTTCTTGCGGCTGTTGCGGTTGTTGTGGCTTTTGTGGTTGTTGTGAGTTTTTATTCGAAGCAGTAGCACCCTTTCCATAAGTTACTACATACTTTTTGCTGTTGATATTTTTGGAATAATCATCTTTATTAGCGCTCTTGCTATGCAAAAATCGTTTTACTCGTTTCATTCTAGATGACGACGACGACGACGATGATGAAGAAACATCAGGTGAATCATTTTGATAGAAGAAGTTATCAGCATCATTACGATTACTCACCACTTGTTCTGGGGTTCTGGAATGTGATTAAAAGTAGCAATAATAATAACAACAACAATAATAATAACAACAACAACAATAACAACAATAATAAATATAATTTAGCAATATTAACAACAAAATAAACAATTATGAAAAGGAGAATGAAGAGTTCTTTTTTAATTTTCATTTTAGTTTCATTTGTTGCATTTTTAAGTGGATAAGAAAAAAAAATGAACATCATGTGAGAAGTAGTAGTAACCGACTCAATAAAATTGTGTTCTTCCTGGTCCTTTGAATTCTCTCTATCGACATTCATCCAATATTTCCTCGATCCATCCATCCTTCCATCCATCAGTCTGTGAAAGCCAGCAGGGCAGACAATTGGATGGCAGTAGAAACTTCCATCAGTGTTCACACACATGTGTGTTTCCAAAGGACACGTGTGTCTTTGCTCCTTACATTCGTCTGTGTCTGCGTAGGTGGGATGTGAGGTGGTGTTCAGGAAGAGGTTGAGGATGATGATGAGGAGGGTGGTAATGAGGATGATGATAATGATGGTGGTGAGGATAATGATGATGGTGATGATGATGAGGAGGGTGGTAATGAGGATGATGATAATGATGGTGGCGAGGATAATGATGATGGTGATGATGATGAGGAGGGTGGTAATGAGGATGATGATGATGATAATGATAGTGGTGAGGATAATGATGATGGTGATGATGATGAGGAGGATGGTAATGAGGATGGTAATGGGGATGTAGATGATGAGTATGTTCGTGTTGAACGTGCGGTATGTCTTACGTATTTAATGATGAGAATAAAAAAAGAGAGATACACATGAAAGAATGAGTATTTTTAGTCTTTCCATCCATCCATGGTGTATTTCGATTAATTTTTTTAAATAAGTATCGGTCAAGAATGATTTATTGATGGTTTTACACGCTGAACAATGACGATGATGACGACGACGATGATGATGTTGAAAACAAGTGATTCAGTAAAAAATATTTTAAAAATTGTTTTGGTGTTAACGTTCTAGAGCCATCGGTTGGAATTACGAGAGGAATGTGTCTATCTCAACTGCTGAGTTGTTCGTTGCTATGAACTTATGGAAGAAAAATTATATAGCAGAAGAGATAAAATTAATTCTCTCTATTATTATCATCATCGTCATCATTATCACCGATGTAATTTTTTGTAGCAAATTCGTTGTGGTTATAAAACAAAAAATGTGAAGGTTAGGACGACAGAGAAAATTGTTGATTGAAAGTTATGAATGGCATGATGATGTTGGAGCTGCTGCTGCTGCTGTGGTGGTGGTGGTGTGGTGGTGATGATGATAATGATTTGCCGATGTCTGAAAGCAGCCAAATTTTAAATCTAAAAAAATCTAATACCATAGCATTCGCCGTCAAGATGGTTCATGGTGTAACCAGCTGGACAGTCAGTGTAGGATTGTAACGATGGTGAGGCGTGGCCGGCTGTTTAAACGTATAAATTATAATTATAGTTTAATAATTAATTGTTTACATATATAACAAACTGTTCAAACTTATTTGTAAATTTCATATCAAAGTTCTACATTTTTGTTCCTTTAATTGAGATGAAAACTGAAAAAAAATCCATTAGTCATGCCAGAAGAAACACAACCGATGAAGAAACAATTAAAAAAAGACACCTGTACAGGTGCGTCCGTCCCAATTGAGTACATAGCCAGGTCTGCAGGTGCAGTAGTACGAGCCCCACGAGTTCTGGCAAGCCTGATCGCACCCGTGCAATCCAATGGCACACTCATCGAAGTCTGCAATGTTTGGTTGGTTTCATTTTGTTTTTTTTTGTGAAGATGTTGCTGGCTATTTTACTATTTTACATAACCTATCAGCGGTGTTAATGACGTCATAATACTAAAACCACGCTTACCTCAACAGTGGTAACAAACCATTAAAAATAAAAGAACAACAACAATATTCAACAACAACAATAATGAACATAATAGACATAAGTAACACAACAATCAAAAGGCCGGTGAACCTATGCAAGTTTGTGTTGATTCGTCGTAGAAGAAACCAGGCGGACAGACGCAGGTGAACGTTCCATGTTTGTTCTCACACGTGGAATCAGCTGGACAGATGTGGATGCCTCGCTGGACCGCTTCCAAACACTCGTCAACATCTGAAGTGTGTTGTTGGTGGCATTATTCGTCAGTGAATGTGTTCAGTTTGTTTCTATTACAGTTTGGTAATATGTCAATCATCATCATAAGCTGCTTTTTGTTTTATTCAATTTTAAAGAAGTTTGTGTGCGCGCGCGCGTGTGTGTGCGTGTGTGTCATTACAAATGTTCTTTCTTGAGCAACACATCTAAAAACACATTCTTAACGACAAATATTCAGACAAGTATTTTTCTCCAGACCTACGTAACTTGATTTAAATAAAAAAATAAACAGACCTATTCGCAAGAATTAAATGAATTTTGTGAATGATCGAGTTTTTAAAATAAGAACACGCTACGACGAGTGTCGATGCTTGAAAAATGTTATTTGACACTCATGCGCTGGAGCAAAACGAGAAAAGTTACATCAACTCAATTTACACAATTTTTAATAAAAATTCACAATTTTTCAAAACGTTCGGCACGAAATTGTTTCAGAGAAAAATTTTTTGATGAACGATCGAAACACATTCAAAAGTTCAGTTTTTCAATTGTACCGAAAATCTGCAGTTGAAAATCTCTCATCAAATATTACGTTTCAAAAATATATATTAACTTTCAAAGCTTATATTCGAGAATGTGTGCAAGGGTTTATGTTACTACTAACACATGCAGAGAATAAAAATAATATTCCCGTTCGAATCAGTTTCAATCGTGAGAAAGAAAGAAATATTTCACGCAGATTGTAAACAACACCTAGGTTAATAGCATTATTGATTGTTGTTGCATGTCTGCCAGTGGTCTGGTCTGCTGCATCGTGTTTCTATTTATTCCTCTTCCATTATCTTCATCAAAACAGTAAGCACAACATCAGCGAGCAGAACATTTGGCTGAAACAACGAAGCTTCATAGGCATAAAATCGTCTAATAGCACATCCATAAATCTTTCAAACATTAATTTTAATCAACATAAAATAATTAACATCATTAACAGTTTATCTGACTATCATCATCATCATAATAATTAACATCATCATTAACATCATCATTAACATCATCATTAACATCATCATAGTTAAAATCATCATCAACAACAACAACATCATCAGCATCGTCGTCATCATCATCATAATCATCATAATCATTAGCATCAAAATCATTGTCATTATCATCATCATTATCATCATTAATATCGCCGTCGTCAAAACCTACAACAGCATGAATGTTTGCAACGTTATTCCCAGCTTAGCATCTCTTAAGTTTGTTTTCAACATTTATTTATTTGTTTGCAATAATTTTGATGGATCTCAATGCAAGCAGTTGTTAAAATTTTAAAACATTTTCCTCTTGCAAACCAAAAAAATTCAAATGCTTA